CTTTTGTCTTTATCTTTTGGGTATTTACTATAGGTTTTTGGGTGTTTTACATGTATATGTTGCCATATATAAGCCTCATGGTACCACAAAGCAAAAGAATACCTAATTACTTATATTCTTACCTAATTACCTATATTCTAATTTCACCTTTTTTTTGGCATCTCTCCTATGCTCTTGCCATCTGTGTTGATTGGATTTCAGCAATCACCTTTGTCTTCTTTCTTTGATCTGGAAAATACCTATCACTTATGCAAAAATTTTATAAACATAAAGCCTACTCCATTTGTGTTACATTTTCTTTTTTAATTTCTTCTAAACAAAATTTTAATTGAAATATTTCATACCTCTAGGAAAATGGAATAAACAAAACAAAGGAAGGGTACAATTAGAAAAAGGTATGGGTGGAAAGCCATTCCATCATGTTTGCTTTTAATCTATTAAATTTTTGTGGAGTTAGTAAAAATAAATAAAACTGCATGGATATATCCAGAGGTCCACACTTCAATCTAATTTCAGCTTACAAAGCTTATACTAATTTATTCATCAAGTATTCCTTGTCAGTCATTATTTTAGTATTGAACATAAAATTGTGAACATTATATAAAATATCTACACTAAAAATGAAAATATTTTAGTACAAAGCAAGGCATTGAAATATAAAATTGTGTAGTTGTTTTAGATGCCAATCTAGCAGTTCCTCAATTGACCAAACAAAATTACCATCTGATCTAACAATTCTACTCCTAGATATATATATACCCAAGAATAATGATAACTTATGTTCACACAAAAACTTAAGCACAAATGTTCATAAAGTAATGGATAAATAAATTGTAGTTTATAATATATAACTTTTCAGCAATAAAATGAAATAAGGTGCTAATATATGCTACAGCATGGATATACCTTGAAAACAGTATACTAAATGAAGCCTGACACAAGAAGTTATATATTTCATTATTCTACTTGTATGAAATAGCTATAATTAGGCAATATATAGAGGCATAAAGTAGATTAATGGTTTCTTAGGGACGTGGGAAAGGAGAAATTGTGTGGGAGGTGGTATGCTTAAAGGTGGGGGGAATTTCCTTTTGAGTAATGAAAATGTTATAAAATTGATTGTGGCAATGTTTTTACAGCTCTGAGGATGAATATACTAATAGCTTTTGAATTATTGCAAATCAAAAGTATAAAAATTAAAAATGTATGTTCATCAAAAGATACTTATATGAAAATGAAAAGGTAAGCCACAGACCCAGATAAAAAAAGTCTTCATGGTATATTTTTTGGCAAAGAACTAATTCATAATATATAGAGACCCCCTATAACACAAAAATGAAAAGATTTGAAAGCCTTTGAAAAGAAACCAAGTTTTTGGGATAGGGAATGACAGGAATTGATGGTGATTTTTTTTTTAAATTGTGCTCAGAGAAGATCTTTTAAAAGAGAAGATACCTGACAAGGGTTCTGACCAAAAGAAGGGAGCCTTCTATTCCAGTATCTTGCAGAAGTGTGTTTCCACAGTAGGAAATAGCAATTTCAAAGCACTAAATCTAAAATGAGCAGGGTTTGTTCCAGATTCAGCAGTTTTAACAGAGCCAAAGGATTAGTGGGTAGTGTCCAGAAAGCTGAGCAATTTTGTAATGACTGACAGGAAGTAAAGTTCAAAGGAGGCCAGGAATAACTTTATGGACACTTTCCTCGGTGAAATGATCTTGCCTCATGATGACAATGGCAGGAACATGTCTCAGTTCCTGCTTTATGTCTTTAACTGCTCTTTTACAGGTACATTTATAGTGTCTAATGCAATCTTCCCAGAACTGAATTTATTCCTAATATGCACAATAGTTAATGCTTATATTAATTATAAGTTATTAATAGTTATATTACTAGCACAGTTCACTGCAGATATACTTAAACCTTCTATCCTTCACATCCTATATCTTCTCAGCTACTCAGTTTTATCAATACTTAATTCAAAAGGTCTCTCACAGCTGTCCTTTTCTTATAGTTCCACTGATGACCTTTGTTCATAATTTCAATCTGATACCCTGAAGCACTCTAGCTGTTAATTTCACTTATAATTTTGCCTTCTCAACATCTCTTCATATACTCTCGATTTTATCAAAACACAACTCACATCATACCTTTTTATACATTTTTCTGGTTCAGAAAATCTACAGAGTTTTCCTTATCTATAACATTATTTCTCAAGATATGTTCCAAAAACATATTATAGGAATATAGTCCCTTGTCATATAAATTTGGAAATGTATTTATTTAGCAAGAAACTTTGGAGCCATTTCTTCAAAGAGAGGTGTCCAACCCAAGAACCAGTACGACCACCTGTTTATCATGGTGCAAAAATTATACTTGGTTTTAAAAAGAAGATAATGGACAGTCTACTTTAACTTAGATTTTTGAAGAGCACACCAACAATTTCCAGCTGTTGAATTTCCTTTAGAACAAACTGGTTCTCTATAGTAGATAAATTTAAATAAATGCCTAGAGCATTTTTGACTGGACTGTCACAACTTATCTTGATATGACACACATAACAAATGTGTTTTTTGAGGGAGGTGTTTGAAAGAAACCAGGTGCAAAATTGCACCTACCATAGGTTTAACTAATTAAGAATGCGGGTATAAATATATCCAGCCATTCTGATTAATCACTGTTCTTCTGCTATCCATGAACTTCATTAAGCTGGCTTCTATGTTAGAAAATTTGAAATAAAACATGAGTCATATTATTGAACAGTTCTAAAATTTAAAAGGAATGCACAATGAAAATTTTTGCAAGCGATGCTATAGTCATTTGAGCAATAAACTATCAATCAAATGGAGAGTAAAATAGTAAAAACGATGTCTCTGTAGAAAAAAATGGGGCAAATAAGTTTTAAAGCAGGAAAATGTAAGTCGAACAGTAAGGAAAATACTGCGATTATACTTTTAAACTGATGGATGCTAGGATATTGACATATTGGTTACACTTATATGATGGTTTTCAAAGTCAGCATATTTTCAAGCAGATCATCATAACACGAAGTAAGACCAAAACAACCACCAAAAACCCACCAAGTGTTGTGTATCATCTCAATTATTATTGTCAAAGGAGTGCAATAGCAATGATGATGTTCAGCTTCCTGACGCTAGACATTTCTGAGATCCAGCTTCAAACCTGCCTGTCTAACCCTAGATTGTTCCACCTTCTCTACAATGAATGAGTTTATGACCTTTTGACCTACACTGTCCAGATTGGCATCTGATCCTTGCAACACAGGAAAGCCTAAAACTACTAAAATTGAACGAAACTCTAGGCCACCAGTTTTAAAGATGGTAACTTGATGAATTTAGATACCAAGTTCTCATCATGTTCTTCAGCAGGCACCCAATCTCAGCCTGCTCCCTAAGCCGTGGACTAGAAAGACACACATTTTATACTCAAAGTGTAACAGGGCTGTATATCTCAAAGAATCCAATGGAAACAGAAGAGTTGCTGAAAAATACTTCTCAAAAACAAGATAAAGATTAGAAGCTTAGCTAGTAGAGTCTTCATACACACACACGTATATGCAAACATATACATATATATTTGTTGATTCAAGTAGTTTATGATACAATTTAGAGAGTATATAATAACACTGCAACTGGATAAAAGTCAAATGTCTTAACATTTCCAAACTGTTACAGGAAAGTAGGTTATACATTCATTAGTGATTCTGATGAAGCTTAAAGCAAAATGGCATTTATTACTTTATTATTTATTATAAGGCTCCCCCACCCTTAATGGTGTATATTGTAGCTATAGTCACTATATACAAAAAACAGAGAATTCTCTAATTTGTTTTTGATGGAATATCTTTTCCTGCACTTGTGAATGTTCATTGGAAGAGTTTTCCTTCCTTCCTGGGGCAGCATTAGTGGCTGACACGTGCACCTGCTCTTTCCCCTTCCCTTCCTGTAACGGTATATGAACATTACACATTTCCTTTCACCTTCGAGTTGAAAGAAGAAATGGCCTTTTAAAAAAATTTAAAGGTACTTTTCCATTATTTTTTGATAAAGATCACTAAATCATTTTGAAACAGGAAATATCCCTCTGCTGCTGAAATTTGTTTCTTGTAGAGTGTAGGTGTGTTGGTTTATCACTTAAAGCCACTTTTTAAATGAAACTTTTGAATCAGATATTTCCCCAAATTGAGGGTGGAAGAACTGGGACAAAGGAGCACTGGAATGTTAGACATTTCTTTTTTCAGCATCTTTGTCTGCTATTTCATAGAAAACTTGGTTAGGAAATTGGTTCTACAGTTGAAACCTGTATGGTTTTGGGAACCAATGTGACCACAATAAATTATTTTTATAAATAAAACAGATGTATTATAAGGAAACAAAGATGAAAATTTGGAATATGTGTTTCCTTTCATTTTTTCCTGTATTAACTTCTTTTTATTACTTTCATTCTATTACAGTGTATTCTATTACAATTTTTCCCCCTTTGCCCTCCTCTACTCAGCCCACCCCCAACTCCCACAGTAAATCTCCACATGGTGTTTCTTTTTTAAAAAAGGACCGGACAAAAGGGAAAGACAGATCAGGAATTGAAAGTTGCATTAATAAAATGATAGGAAAAATCAAGAAAAATTGAAATATAATTATTACAGACTGAGAGAGAAGAATGGCTGTGAGAAAGGTGTGGCAAATAGTATTACATATGAAAGCAGAACATAATACTAGCAATGTTGACCAGCAATTACCCATGTCTCTTAATTATTGCCATTTTAATTTGTATTTTAAGGTTTCAAATGACCTGTGTACTTGAACATTATTAGATATATTCACTGAATATATATGTCATGGAATTTGTGGACAAAGATGTATAAGAATACCCATTAGAGATCAAAAATGTACATTTGGAGGCATGCCTGTGATTCCTACTAGTCTATTGGTGATTCCACATTGACTTGTTATTTATTAGCTATATCTGGGTTTGTATTTCAGAACAATTTGTACAATGAAGAAAAAACAGATTTTCTGGGTCTCTGTATGTCTGCTGCTTACTTTTGCTTCTGTCCCTCTTAATGCTGAGGATGATGAAGAAGATCTTAATGCTGAGGAAGATGAAGAACATACCAACACTCCAGGTAGAATGTTAGAAATATTCTTCTTTTTAAACTAGTCAAAGCTCTCAATTATAATCCAATTATTTCATATAGATTTTTCCATCATGTAGGAAAATTAGTTTTTGCCAAAGTCATATTTTTCTTAGGAAATATACATAATGTGATGTGTCAAACGAACAAACAAAACCTTTGTCCACAAAAAGAAGTGATGTTAGCGAGGAAGACTTTTTTTTTCCAGGCTAAAATTAAAAATTGAGTTATCTTTGGAAAATTGTGAAGAGCAACATGCTCTACAAACAACTCTATGAACTTTGATGTCACTCTTTGGCTGAACAAGTGTGAGAAGGAAAAGGAAACCATACCTGAGGTTTCAGCCATTCTTTCTTTTTTTTTGCTTTTATTCCCCAAATAAGAAATACCCAGATGAGTCCAATGTGAGGACACCAAAAGATCTGGGCAGAAGTCAGTTCTAATCCCACAAAGCTCTATGTCTGAAAATAAAATATTAACAGTAAAACAATAGAACAAAGATAAGACTGTAAAGTGATTATTATTATAGACGTTTTTTAAAGTAATATTTTGAAGTAAACTAGTAAACTCATGGAAAACTTATGTCATTGGTAATGGTGAGAGATTATGAACAAAGTGATAGCTTGTATTTGTAGGTATGCTTATGAGGTGCAAAGAATTTCCATAAACACATTCTTATTGCTTATCTCTCACAGCTGTTCAACGTGATTTTGCCCAGTGTACTTTCCTTGGGTAAAGATTGAATAAATAGTTGTGCTTGAAACTGGTAGGTTCTAGGGAAGCAGTGAGGACTGACCCCGGGTTCTCAAGAATCTGTTTCACACTGGAGACTAGAGAGTAGACAGGTTATTTCGGTATGAGGTATTAAATGAAGCAATGGAGGCATGCCCAGGGTGTTGCTGCTGATACACCCAGGAAGGGACTCACCCAAGCTTGGCGATGGCGGAGGCGAGCATGCGGAAGTGGCCAAGTGGTACATGCTACATCACTTCAGCCTGCAGCCAAAAACGAGGCCTTTTGGGCAGATCTGAAGATCTGCAGTGGCTGGACCCACAGCTTGAAACCCAGCCACCCAGACAGGCCAACACCAGACCAGTAGGTGAGAAGCAAACCCAATTAGGGTCAACAGGGTCACTCAAATCTTACACAGAGATGAAAAAACAAAGGCTTATAGTTATATGCCACTATATAACTATCTACATAAATTTTCAAAGATGGATCACTATTTAATAAAGTAAAAGCCATAATGTGCCTGATAAAAATTGGAATTTTGTCATTTTGAGATGGGTTCCAATCCTTCATTTGGTTCATTTCTCAAAAGGGATTTAATATTCTGAAGACTGGGTAGAGAAGGAATGTGGAGAGTCAGTCCCCACAGGGAAAAACCAGGGAACCTCACTGTGGGAAGTGGGAGATGAATGGGCCCAAGTGTTCCCAAAATTCAGCTAGTCCAATCTCCCTCAGTTAGACTGAGAAAATGCACGCCAGATATCCAGGAGTGTCCTGAAATTGCCACAACTGGCCAAGAAACCAGAGTTAACCTGCCACTAATTAGGCCAAAGTTTAAATCTCTGGATAAATCCAAACCAAACCCAGCTGTGTAACAAAAAATTTTATTTTAAAGCTAGACTTGAAGACCCAGTTAGCTGGCTAGCTGTGCAATCTTACCCAGTTTTGGCTGTTGTGTTTTCAATTAACTTTGTAATAGCATGATCCCACATCTGGATCAGTTCTGTTTTGGAAATACCATTTATCACATTATGCCAAGGTCATGCCATCATTTTATAGAATTATACTATTTAATTGAAATGGTGTACTATCATTTTATAGAAAAACATACAAGATTTTACTGCTCCTCTTGTAAATCAATAGTAGATTATGTTTAATCAGTCTACCCGGCAGGGAGGATGAAATAGAATAAATTCCAAGATATAAAAATGATAATAATAAAAACAGTAGTGATAAGCTTTAAAAAAGAGTCCTTCAGGTTGGGAGAGAGAAGATTAGCAAAGAGTGGTTAGAGAAAGTCCAGTTATCTTTTATAAGATGTAGGATCAGACAGACCTAAGCTTGCATGTGTAGTTTGCTACACAGTATCTTTGCAAAATTAGATGAGTTATGTAAACTCTCTGACTCCAGTGTCCTAATCTATAAATAAGTGATATAATTAATTATGTTCTTGTAGTTATATTAACTGCAAAAAACACCTGAGGCATTTTCTGACACAGAGAAAGCAGAGTGCATGTCTATGTTCTTCCTTTCCAGAGAATTTTAATCTTTTAGCCAGGGAGTACAGAAACATATATGAGATTTCTAGGAAACTATGAGATTTCTAAAAAACTATGAAATTTCTAGGAAGTTGCCTTAAGCTCCAGGTTCCCAAACAAGTTCCAGGCGAAGGAGGATTCTAACAGACATGGACCCTACATGTCCCCAAATGTTATCATGAGCCTTCCATCTAACATTCCAGGACAGGAGAAGAGGAGAGTAAGATTATAATCCGCAGAGGGTGAGACATAAAATTCAAGACATAAAGAGGGGACTGCTGCCACCTAAAATGCTTACTAATATCTTATATGTTGATCCAGCACAGTGTCTGACACATAATCAACACAAGATTGTTGACTTTCAAAGGTATACCCAAAGTAAGAAAGGAAACCAAGAGAGACTTCCATCCCTTTTGAGTAGAATGACATGGGTGTTCAGGTGTGGGTCACATGCTCACTGCACAAAATTCAGGATTCACGTAAGAAACATACATTAAGATAGAAAGATGGATAATTAGCTAATAATTAATAAAAGCTCATTTTAGTGTTTCTCTTATGAAATTGGTGTAAAATCAACACCTACTTTCATCATTGAAAGCTTTTTTAGTTTCTATAAAATGAATTTGCTTTATCTAAATGTCATTTTATGAATCTCAGTCACACAGACCTGTGACAGTATCACCCAGTTATTAAGAATGGCTGAGAGATGGGCTGTAAAACTACATAGGGACAGTTCAAAGGTCATCACTGATGGCATGAATTGAGCAATAATTTCTGCAATGCTATTTTATAATCTGTAAAATAGAGATAATACTACCTAATACATAAGTTTGTCGTGATAATTAAGTGACACAATTACAAAATGTCTGAAGCAAAGTAATTAGTAAACATTAGCTGCCATTATGAATAGTGTAACTATTGATACTACATCCCGGCCATACTGCTTCTCTGTTGTGGTGCACTGCCGCCATCTGATGGCAAAACTACTAAATAGCAGCTCGTACTTGGGGTGAGTACGTCCTTAATACAGAAAATGTAAAATAAAAGATTTAGCATGATGATCAAATATATTTTGAGTAAAAAGTAGAGTATCTCAATGATAATGAACCTCATATATATTATTGATTTATAATAAATAGGTTTTTTGAATATATATGACAGCTTAGGTTTCATGCTATCTTTTGTAGGTAAAGATATATGTGTTATAATAAATCTGCTATATGTTACCAGCCTTATTAAAATTTATGTCTGAAAGTTTATTGCTCTATAATTTATGTTGGTTAAATTTGTTTTAATTTAAAAGAATAGTCAATTCATTTAATGAATTAATCAAAAGGGTGATATGGTGTTTTGTAAATTATACTCAGGTTTTTAAAAATTAAAAGCTGCATTCATGTTCATACAAGCCATCAAGAGAATCAAACAGTGCAATACTACCAGTTTATGTCTATAAATCTATATTTTAACCATTCCAAGATTGCAAAGCCTCCTTATCACTTTATGACTCATATAGAAATTTAAAAATAACATTTCATTATTTTGTTATAGTTTTAACATTACTTAAATATGGCTAATGCTTGACATTAATTCAAGATTATCAGGACAAAAATATGGAAGGTAGGAGAGATTTAATAAAATTATGTAATCCAAATATTATGATATATATTTTCTCTTTCTATAATTCAGTATTAAAACTACAGGAAATTTAAAACTGATTTTCCTTTTAGATGATCATACATTCACAACACCTTTTATATCATGTTTTAAAAATATTTTATGTAAAATATTAAAGTTACATGCATTCATGTTTCCTTATTTCAAAGTAAATTATTTTATAGTGCAGTGAAACATTTTGAAGATATTCATCCTTAGTTTTAATTTAATATAATACTGCTGCCCCATAAAGGGCAAATTGGTTGGTCATTTTGTACCAGTCCCAATTTTCAGTGTCTATCTTACTGGTAGATTTTATAAACAAATGCAATTTTTTAAAATTATGTTTTTGTTAATATACTTGATAAAAATCAAATTAAAAAATTTTAGTTGAGTTTTCCGTATGTACTAATCACTCCTTCCCAATATAGGAAATCCTTCTGTGACTAAAATTAGGTGACTGAATATTTAAGAAATGAAAGTATAGCTCATAGCCAGAAGAATTGCCTCATTATATTTGAAAACATAGAAAGTATTAAGTGTTTTCAATTGTTGTTCTACACTAAAAGAATCATGATAAGTAAAAAAGAATTGACCATGAGACAGATAGATCAAACACTTACCTTTTCATAATTAGAGAATGGTTTAATACAGCATGATATATACATACATATATGAATATGAATACACTGTTGCTTTTAAAGAGAGGTGTATGTATGTGTGTGTGTGTGTGTGTGAAAAAGTGACACAGTTGCAGGTTAGGTAGGGAAATTCAAAGAATTGTCTATTTACAACTGCCCTTAAATATGGCTGAATTAAAGGAGGTCTCTACTTATTTGTACTGTCAACACATCAGTCACCTTGCAATTACAATCACATTCCATGTCAGTGAACTGGTACAGGTGTAAGCAATAAAAAGAGTCTGGAGAAATTGTTCTACATTTTCCTTTAATAGTTGGTAATAATCAACCAATATTCTACATTTTCCTGTAACAGTTGATTATTAATCAATTATTAAAATTTAGCAGTTGATAAAATCTGTCTCATTTGGTGAACTTATAAATTTTACCTACATTTTTGATAGCTATAAATATATTTTTATGGTTTCTTATTTCAGCTTAGTTTATTGTGCTTTATCCTTAAAGTTGGGACATATTAACAAGGAAATAAAAAGGAAGCAAAGAATATTATTACTATATTGATGAAGGATTATATGTTATAACTTTTATTTTTTCCTTTGTAGATGCTGAGCTTCCGCCACTGAAACTTGTACATTCACATTGTGCATATAAAGCAGATAAAGGCCCATGCCGGGCAATGCTGAAGAGATTCTTTTTCAATATTTTCACTCGACAGTGTGAAGAATTTGTATATGGGGGATGTGAAGGGAATGAGAATCGATTTGAAAGTCTGGAGGAGTGCAAAGAGAAATGTACAAGGGGTAGGTTTCTGGGGACACCTCCATCCCGGGAGAGAACACCCTTTAGCTAATGTGACCATAGCCTTGAAAGGATCTGGAACTATCAGAAAATAACTTTTACATGTTGTCATTTTATCTTGCCACACTTGCTACTGTCTCTATTAAATTACTTTTTCATTATGCTAGTATTAGTTTAGATTTTTATTCATTTGTTAAAAAATGCTGCTTAATTGGCATTCAAAAGCTGAATGTGTTGGAGCAGCCTGTGGATTCTCTCAAAAGTGGCCTTCTCTGTGCTGAAAACCCAGTTCTTTTAAAGCTACCGAAGGGCAATGTGATTATTTTGAGAAATTTTTGGTTTGTTTTTGTTTAATATATGTCAATTATTTGGGGCTAAATTGTTGAACAGAATGATAGGAATCCTGTCATCATAGAAATTTATATCACTTCTAAATGGTTTTCTTAGATAAAAGGAAGATGGTATGGGTATAGAGAACATGAAATAAAAATATGATTTATATTTTATCTATTAAGACTTGGAAGATGAAGTTTTGCTTTATTTGGGAAGACCGATGAGAACTATAGTTTGTAAACTACCATTCCTGAGAGTAAAGACAGACCAAATATTTCAGCTAATAAAAACTATGAGTGTGCTTAGCTTGATTCATATATTCAGTTGTCCTTTTGTATCTAAAGTTGTTTCATTGATTGTTTCCAAATATTTGTAATTTTGTTTCATGAATTTACCTATGTATTGAATAGTAAAGGCATGGTAGCAGGTTAATAAGTTTAAAAAAATAGTTTGCAAAAAGGCTTCAAATGGCTTTCAGATATTTGTCTTTTGATTTAGTTGCCTTTTTTCTTGTAGCCTAACAAAAAACAACATGATCTTTTATTATTCTTTTATGAAAAAACAGTATAGGTAGTATAAGAAATAAAAAAATTAGATGAAAAAGATCAAATTCCCACCTTGCTTTCTAACCAATCAGCCTTTACAGGGTTAAGGTTAAAATGTTACATTTTAATTCATGGAACATCAGTTTCTAAAACATCTTGAAAGGATCTAGAAAGTATGCCTTGCTATTAATTACTATTTTATTGGTTTGAATAATTGTGCCTTGTGGCTTTTTTGTGGAGATTTACATGGGAATATTCTTCACGGGGAATTAAAGAAGATGTAAATACATTTTCCATTTTCCTTATATTTTTAACTTTGTCAGTTCATGTTTTATTTGTTTGGAACTGTGAAGGCCTGTTTAGTAACAAGGATCTTCTTCCCATAGAGTCAATTTCACAACTTGAATTACTTAAATTATTTTCTAGTCTGACTTCAACAATAAACCACACTAAAAGTTGAGATTAGATTTTACCCTCTCCCAACAAGGGAAAAAAAGTTGAATAAAAAATGGGGAGGAGGGAATTACAGTTACTAAAATTTATCAGATAATTCTGTATTAATTTGTTGTATATTAATTACAATTAAATATTCATAATTATATATTTTAATTGTGAATTTATATAAATTGGAGCTCAAGAAGTTACTAAAATGGACATTAATAAAACATATTATTATTTCTACTTGAGACCTCATTAATATTAGTTCTATATAAATCTAGGAAAATATAACTTGGATCATTTGCTGTAAACATTCTCTATTCTTTCAGACTGTAATTGGCATAAAATTTAATTAAATAGGGTTTCAATGGTTGTTAATTTCAGAATCCTCAAAGATAATGATAGGTAACATAAGTGCACTTAAAATCCTAATATGCTAAAATGTATTATTTGAGTTAGTTTACTTGTATACCATCTGGGTTAATCCTACTTGTAATTAAGCCAGAAACACTAAATAGTTATCTCTTTTGAAAGCATGAACATTGAAATCAAACATTACTGTCTTCCCATCCTGTGACTCTTTTCAGTAGGTAACACCACGTGAAAATGATTATTTAGCACTCTAGTTTTATATACTGTTTACATGCATATATTACTTCCTTGCCCTTATAAATTAAAACTGTAATGTATTAGATTTACATTAAAATATCTTAATGTAAGCTTTTCTTGATGACCCACTATCTAATAAGAAACCACTATTTGGTATTGATTATTTACAATACAAAAAAAAAACACCGAAACACTACATCATGTTTCTTTAATATTTAAAATACAATTAGGAGGGGAAAAAATAGCCTTTTAAAAAAAGATTATAGAATAAAACAGAGTAAAACTCAAAAAAAGAGATAGGCCCCATTCCCTTCTCTTTCATGGACATTTTATTCTACAAAGAATAGTTTAACTGATCACTGGCTGGAAAGGCCACATCACCCAACTCACCTCATCCCATCTCTCTCTCTGTCTCCCCCCACTATACGCTACCTTGATCACAGCTTTATTTTATAAAACAAATGATTACACAACAAAGCAGGTATCATTCAGCTTTTCTAATGTTTACATGAAAAAATAAACCTTCACATATTATATTAATTTGAATTTTATTATCTATCATTTAAGCTAAAACTTAGAATCCATACTTGAAATATAATGGGTCAAATATAAGTAGCATTCTAGTTCTTGATTGGAGTATTTCCATGAACTAGATAAGGTTAAACCCCAAAATATGTCCCAGTTACCTGTGCTTCACTTCTCTCTGTACTTGGAAATAATAACAAAGTTTGTAATTGGGTTGAGAAAATGACGTAGGGAATGAATCCAAAAAAAAAGGTGATTCTGTTTTTTTTCTATCTCTACTCCTAATTCTCTACAGATGTTGTCTGTTGTTATATGCAAAGTAAGCAGTTTGAGTTAACAATATTTCACATTTTTTTATAAATAACTAATGTAATTACAGACATTTGGAATAGTCTGGCATGAATTCTTATTTTTTGTAAATGTATTAGACCTTTTAGCATAGATTTTGAGACATTACTATGGTAAAATGAGATGTCCTCATGGTTACAATAATTAAAATAATATTTAGACAAAATAAAAATAAATTTACTAACATTTTGTGTAAGAATAATTATAATGATAATGAATACATCATCTTTGTTAAATTGAAATTCATAACATTATTTTATAAATTGCGATAACTGATACACGTGTGTTGTTTTGCTTGCAGATTATCCGAAGAGGCCTGTGAAGGCAAAGACAGCACTGCAGGAAGGTGAACGTTCACTTGTATGCTCATTGGTATAGTCTATTTAAGGCACCTACCAAACTGATTCTTAGGTTTCTCTGATATGAGGTTCATTATAAATCAATGTGATTTTTGAAATGGTGTTTTATTTTAGTAGATATAATGAAAAATTATAAATAACATGAACAGTTTGGGGTAGGGAAGGCTTAAACACTATATTTACTCTTATTCTAATGCAGCATGATATTTAATATTAGATCAGTCACAATTCAGGACTAGCCACACATGTGCTATCTTAGTATCTCCCCAGTAGTGACTTAGATATTGCTAGTTGTACTTTACTTCTGAGATGTCTAATCTTTTGACAAGCTCAGCATTGTGTGATGTTAGCAAATTTCATCCAGTATTACTACCGTGAATGGATGAATCTTTGAGTTGTCAACAATCCTAAGCAAAAGTATGTAAGATGTTTAACAATAAATAACTGCTTTTGTCAATATTATTTATTATTTGTATACAGGTTCAATATGAAAAATACTTTATATGTCTGAGAATTGTAAAGCATGATGTTTTTTAAAGGAAGTTTAATTAAGACAATTGTTAAATATAGTCTCAAACAAAATTCAATAATGAAAATCACATGGCTTGTAGAAGTTGGTATAGAACTTAAAGTGTACATTCTATGTTAGTACATGTTAACTGAGCCTCAGTTTAGAGCAAGGATTGTATGTGCAGAGTCAGTAAAAATGTCACTCTATTTATCTGAGAAAGATGGGGCATAAATTTATTGATTTGCAACCAACAGTATTTTAAACTGTAGGCCTAAGAAAAATAATTTATGTGTGCAGTTCTGAATTGTCCTGAAATATATTTATGTCCTAGAAGAGGGCCTCATATAAATAATAGCAAGTTCCAGAAGTAGAACTTATTAATTACACTTTTGAGCATAATTTGTCACTGTTTTCTGTTGTTTACATGTAATATTTTTTCTATACCTTTTTCTTGAACACCGAATTCTTATATCCTCTAAGGTAACTTAAAATTTCATGAGAAATACATACTAAGACCAAAACCAATCAAAATAATACTAATTAAATGTAATTTTGTCTTACAAAAAACTTATTATACAAATTAAAGAATTGGGGTTTTTCTTGTCCCACATATTAAACTTAACTATTACAGATTGTTATTATGGAAATAAGAGTAATATTCATCTTGAGAAACAAGAGTCAACAAATAATAAAATATCTTTCTAATCTGAACTTTAAGAAATTATATAAAGTAGATATTTAATTAAATATCTATTAATATGAAAATAAGATATCTTATTTAATAACACAATTTTTCATAGGAGACTTTTTTTTGCAGATTTGAAACTGTTGCAAAAATCATTAGTATTATTAAATATGCACTCTTTTAATAGTAAAACACTTGTCGGTATTGCTTCCTTAGATAGACCAGCCAGTAGGACAACAATGTGATGATCGTAGGGGAGTGGAGGATGGGAGGAGGTGCAAGAGGGTATAGGTGGGATAATGTGAATGGAAAATGATATAATAAAAAATAAAGAGGATATTTAAAAGGATACTACAGTTCATTTTTGCCATTACAGTACTATAGTTGCAGGGGCAAATAGAGAAACTGAAGCTTTGCACTGGAAATTCCAAGTTCAATATTTCTTGAGATCATAATCATTTAAAGAATAAGTTCAGTTCCCTTATTTACAGAGTGCGCTTGTAGACAGAGCTTGTAAAGTGAATCACAGTGGCACGCCTCCTGTGACAGCTGTGTTTAGCCTGGCCTGGAGCACTAACAAAGAGTGGGTATCAGCCTTTTTCAAAAGCCTCTGCAATCCTTGAACCATCCAGTTCCTTTCTGCCTTTGCCCTGTTGGAGCCATTCCAACGACTGGAAGGGGAAAAGTAGGAAACAGAGGTGGAGGATGTCATACCTAATACAGATCCTAATTCTGGCATAAGAATTCAGGAACTTCTAAGAATAGCCATGAAAAGCTCCCTTACCCTCAAGGCTTCTCCAATTTTTTAACTCAAATTTCATATTGAAGCAACACATTATGTTTTCCCGAATGAGACCTCACACCTAAAAAAATATGAAATATTTATAGATCTTTCCTAAATGTTGATATGCATAAACTTAATAAAAATAATTAAATAAAATTTTGCCATGAGATTTTATACTTCCAATGCAAGGCTAAAATTGACCCAATATTTTTTATTCTCACAAATCATGAAACAGTTGATAATTAATGCCCTACTAATTTACTATGAAAATAATAGGATTTCAAATTTAAATAGCAACAATGTATGATAGTAGTTGCATCTTCCTTATTCTAAAGTCACAGTAACATAATAATTTTAATATTGTGCAGTTGTAAAGTTATATTTTACCTTATTTTAAATTTTTCATATTTATTCCGTAAGAAACTTCAACACAACCAGTTTTTATAAATTTAATTAACATAATTAAATTATTTATTAAAAAGTATTGTTTTCTAATATTTTATAATTTCCAGGAAAGCCAGATTTCTGTTTTTTGGAAGAAGATGTTGGAATCTGTCGGGCCTTTCTCACTAGGTATTTTTATAACAATCAGTCAAACCAGTGTGAAAGCTTCATATATGGTGGGTGCCTTGGCAACCCAAACAACTTTGAATCTTTGGAAGAATGCAAGAATACCTGTGAGGATGCATGTAAGTTTACTTCTCATTTCATTTTACTTCATTTATAGCCATTAAAAAAATGCATGTAAGTTTACTTCTCAATTCATTTTACTTCATTTATAAGCATTTTAAAAAGTTTGCTTAGCTTTTGTTTTAGCCATGCAAAGCTGATAGAAATTAGTCATTATTTTAAAAAAATTAAACACAGGTATTTAAGGAACCTAACTATAGGGAAAATTGTTTATACAAATCCAACATTGTATTTTTTTAGGTTACATTATTTAATTTTTTTCCTGAGAATACTGTATTATCATTAAGTCACAAGAATAGGACTGCTGAAATACTTAAGTTTATAAAATTTGAGGACAAATCGATCTTTGGAAACTGTCACTAAAATCAATCAGTTTTATGTGACCATAAAATTTATTAAAGGATTGATTTAAACATTAAATGTTATACTTTTTTCTTTTTACTAGAACCACAAAGTTACTCATGTAAATACTATCTTATTTTTATATGTTTATATAACTTTTTAAAAGGTGCGCTATACACTAATTCAACAACTATGTGAATAAGATTTCTAGAAGCTTGCTTTTTTACCACAATTGCTGTGATTTGCTTTTGTTTCTGAGCTTGGGAGAGTGTCTCATATGTTAACTGACTGTATATTTTCCAGTGAATAATGATAGCACCCAGTTTGTTCTTGTTCATAATGGCTCCTCGACCCCACAATCTACAAAGACTATGGGAACTTTTGGTAAGAATTTATTTTTTTTTTAATTGCTGCCAGAAAAAATATTATCATGTAGACAATAAAAATGGGATGCATATTAGAACTGTGATTTTTTTTTAAAAATTATACCTGTTTCATTATTTAATAATAGGTGTGTTGAAACCGTGAGATTCAAAATTTTTAAGATCTTTAATCTCATAAAAGTAATAATTTTCCTAATCTATTTTTAAGTATGCATTGAAATAAGCTTCAGAGTACATATCACATATTTAACTCTATGCCAAATTTAATGTATACAATTCTATAAATAATCAGTCTCAATGCTTAATGGTAAATCATAATGGCAGCAGCAAGGCAAAGGCAGACTGAAGTGCCTTTAAATTGAGTGTGACATCAGACAAAGTCTCTGGCGTTAGTCCCAGGACAGATTAGGAATTTGTCTAATAGCTATCCCCGAAGGTTATGCCACTTTGAAGGAAATTTTCTTTTGGACTTCTGCAGAACTATTTTCTGGGCTCTACCCTGTCAACTTATTATTCAGATTTAAACAATCATGCAAGAACTATGACCACAAAATTGCAGAACTCTGAAAATAGTGAAAACACTAGAAAATAATAAGCAAAAACCACAAATATCTGAGCAGTTTAAAACAACCTAAAAAGCTGATAATTAATGGGATAAATGTAAGGTCCTACTTCTACCCAAGTTTTAAAAGATCACGTGCTCATTCAGAAATTGGAGATTTTGCTTAGATGTAGTCCATATGAAAGTGTTAAGTGTAAACCTGGCGTGAGTTGAAAGTGTTCTGTTGCTATTAAAATTGCAACCTGAGGTTAAAAAGATACTTAGTTTCTGGGCCAGGAGCCCTCCACCCTGGCTATGGTGGAATCAGATGGGGTTCAGGATCCAGATGTCTCTGAGCATCTGTCTTTACAACAAAATAATAAAAAGTAAGCAAACAGAAGGTAAACAAAAATTCTGCCCAGATGGACGTAAAGCCCTGGAAATGGTTGACTATGACTTACCTAGAATGAGGGATCTAAACGTCCAGCTCAGTTCCACACTGACCCAGTCATGTCTGTAGGGCTTGCTTCAGCCTTAAATGCCAGAACGTACAAGTCACAGAGCCCTGAGAACTGGAAACATGTTTATAGAAGGATTGGAAAGTGTAAGGAGACAAGACATCCAGGAGGAAACATCATGGATGCTCTCTGTACTTGAAACGCTGTCAAGTTAAAGGAGAATTAAGTTCCGCTCCTGCCTCCCATTGCAACCCACCCCCACCCCGCCTCTCCAACTTTCCTTATCTCCTACTACACAGCCTAAGGATCAAGATTAATGTATGAAATCTAAAGTTTACATTTCCTTCTGTACAGTGTTTATTTTTAATGTGAGGTCTTCAAAAATAATGAGTGCCTCATGATTAAATCCTCTAAAATTATAGTCATTTCAGCCATGGTCTAAAAGCACTAGAGATGTCATAAAGGGCAAGCAAAGTTTCACTGGGAATAGAACAACATGGCATATTCAAAAGGCCTTAAGGTCCTTAGATTCTATAATGAGAGCAGGGAATTCAATGCCAGATGAATTTGAGTCTAAATTTTTAAATGCTACTTTATTTGTAGTAATGATAATGATACATAACTTTGTAGTTCTGGTTTTTTATCTTTAAAACTAAATAATTTCATTGAATTCTTTCTTTGTATCCTTCCAGCCCTATGTCTTTCAATGACATTTTGTTTTATCCAGGTAAATATCATGTGCTGAAAAGCATGCTAAATCTTATTTCTGTGAAAGATGTAAAAGTTTAGAATGACAAACTTATAAACGGGTTTAAATGTACATGTGATGAAATATAACTACAAATAAAAGAAATGTATCAAATCAGTTTTCAATATGTTTCAATATTTTTTGTTTGGGTTACTTTACTAATTAAAATAGAGAACTTTGGCATTTATCATTTAAAAAATTAGTAGAGTAGGTTAGGGCATCGTTTTGCCCTGAAGTTCTATAAAGAAGCTGCATGAAAATTATGATTTTTGGCAGATATACTACCAAAATAAAAAGGAGGAAATAAAGAAAATAAGTTTGAGAAAGTAAATGAATTTTTTTAATTTATTTTTTTTATTTGAGTGTATTTAGTATACAATCTTATACTGCCTGTATTTCTTTCAGGTACACAGCATGGTGATTTGAAATTTTTTACCATACAGTGTGATCATCCCATTAATTCTAGTAATCATTTGTTCTGTAAATTTATCACAATATTATTGACTATATTCCCCTTCCTTTTTTTCACTCTGTTTCCATGAGTCGGTATTTGTTTTGTTTTGTATGTTTGTTGATTTTTTAAGATTCCACATGTACGTAAAACCATACAGTATTTGTCTTTCTCTGTCGGATATTTCACGTAGCATAATACCCTCTAGATCTATTATGTTGTTACAAATGGCAAGATTTTATTATTTTTTATTGTTGCATAATATTCCATTGTGTATATATATCACACCTTCATCCATTTATCTATCAAAGACACTTAGGTTGCTCCTCCATCTTAGCTATTGTATATAATGTTGCAGTGAACATAGCAGTACTTGTATCTTTTCAAATTAGTGTTTTTATTTTGTTTGGATAAATACCCATGGCAGGAGTTTTGGGGGTCATATGGTATGACTTAACTATTTTCAGCAGTAAATGACTTTTTAAAAATATTTTATTAATTTACTTTTAGAAAGAAGGGAAGGAAAGGAGAGAAACATTAATGTGTGATTACCTCTCACTCACCGCCCCGTCCCCCCCCCCCCCCCCCGCTGCTGGGGACCTGGCCCACAACCCAGGCATGTGCCCTGACTGGGAATCAGACTGTCGACCCTTTGATTCGCAGGCCAGTGCTCAATCCACTGAGCCACACCAGCCAGGGCAGTAAATGACTTTTAAATGCTGTCTGATAAATGTCCTCTCCCTGTTTTTATTAGATGAGCACTAATACTCTAACAAATAAATTTTTATAAGACTAAATAACTAATGAAGGAAGCTGTAAAAATTCACAACTTAAATTTAAAAGAAAGCTATGTTAAGCGGCTTTTTATTTAAAATAATAAATATGGGGTGATACTTTCATAATAATTTCATTTAAAATTAGGGTGCATTGCTTCCTCTCTTTATTTAGATCTATTTTATTGTATTTATTTGCCTCAAAATCTAAATTTCTCCAACCAATTTAATCCCTTTCCCTCTTTTTCTGTAAGCACAATATATTCTTCTTCTTTTGCTTGGTAAACTTTCTTATTTAAAACATGAAAATGTTGCAATTCTTCAATAAGTTTGGTTTGGAGGGTGTCTTACCAGGTAAAGGGTGACATAGGGCTCTGTCTCTATTCTTCTTAAAACCTGCATAATCCCTTCTCTGCCCCTCCCAAGGTGCAGAAAGTGGGAAAGCAGCTGTCCTTCTTTGCTATCCAAGACCTGCAGGATCCCTTCTCTGTCCCGTCCAAGTGTCAGGGTGGAGGAAGGCAGTCTTGCCCTGCCCTTTCTACAGCCGGATCATTCTTTCTGCACTCCATTGAAGGGCTTTGCTGAGGCCTATAACAACACTTTTGCTATTGTTCCAAGTTTTAATAGGTGTGGAAGGTTTTCTGTGAATATTAGGTTTTTTGAAACGATGTAAAATTATTTAAGGTTTTGGTTGTTTATAGGAATAGTAATGGGACCCACAATACAAATAGAATATCATCTATTTAAAGTTCTTTACATTAAGTAATAAACCTTAGGTAGGATACATAAATATTTCAAAAATATAGCTAGACTGTATTACTATTATTGAGATATACATAAATATAATTTTAATGTTTCTCATTCATAATGATACTGGAAAAGCACTTTAGAAGTTACGTTTAATGTTACTAGAAATGATTTGGTAATGCTTCGTAGTTGCTATTTATTCTTAATTTCCATAATATTACAAATGAGTTTGAGAAAATAAGTTTTCCAGTGAGCCCCCTCCAGTCAAGATAGTTAAATGAATATTAAGCACAACTGAGGTTTCATTTTCACCTTTTATTTCCATATTTCAAAATTGTCTATTTAGGTGATCTCAAAGATTGAGCCTTATTCTGTCTTGAAGAGATTTTTACAAAATATTTTGTAAGCAAGTACCTGTGTACAAGTGAGAACACATTGTTTGGGATGAGAATACTTCATGCAAAAGAAAAACAGGGCCTCAAAGCCAAAAAAATTTAACTGTACAATTTTTTTATCCCTTTCCAAACTCTCAGAGTTCTGACACCATTTTCCCAATTATTCCAGAAGAGGACACGGTAAACTTTAATAACTTCTCCTTTTTTAGTCAATCATTATATTCCAGTGATTTTTCCAATGAAATGCCTATCCCTGTTTCCCCCATTTTCAGTCTTACATGTTTTATTCAGACCATCAATTCTTTGTGTGCAGATTACCTCAGCAATTATATGGAATCCAAACTGCAATACTAACGAAAATGAAAGAGGGATGCCAAAAAATGTTGTTTGTTTTAAATATGTATATATTGACAGAAAATTGACTTTGTAAAACTTTGTAATAAAAGATATGTAAATTTTTTAATTCTTCCATTTTTTTAAAATCATATATATGCTCAGACAGGATATACCCCCCCCCCCAAAAAAGGAAGAAAAGCATGATCTAATATTGACTCAGGAAAACCAGGTAGCATAGATATCATATAGGTAGCTAGGGATGGGTGGATAAATAAATAATCACGGAGATCAAATAAATAATCAGAAATACTACATATAGTATATAATAAATATAATATGCAAGGGTGGGCAAAAGTAGATTAAAATAAATACTATAATAATAAATAATAATACAAGAATACTCACAACTGTAAACCTGTTTTTGTCCCACCCCTGTATTGATAGTTAGCTGCATACCACACTTGACCACTAGCACTGTCCATGCTTCTAGAAAGCTCCATTTCATCAACAACCCACTTCCACAAAGAAGTATTCTCAAAGAAGTATTCTGTT